ACATGATTCCTTAGCTTCACCATTGGATTTGGTAATGACCTCTTGCATTTTTTTTTGCTCTCCATGCTTGGTTTAGTGGGCTTATGAGGCAAAAATTTTTGGTATAGCAACGTCTGGAGTCCAATGAAATAATGTAACGTGTATTTGCGGGTCCCACGGAGGAAAACATTAAGAAAAATTAAAAAAACCAAAAATATGTTTGCCCGACCCAACCTGATGCTTAGACTATCTCGCCTTTTAAACTATCAAGAAATCTATTTTTGAAAACCTTTTAAGCTTCCACTAGTCCGCTGTTAGAAACTACTATCTTCACTCTTTTTTCTACTAAGGTTTCACCGTTGATTCATGCGCTGTGCTAGGGTTCGCTTTGCTTCTACGGAGAGTTTCAAAGGAGTAACAAAATGGAGTTGGATGGTCCTAAGTGTATGCTATTGGAAGAGCTAAGAAGGCTGGATTTGGAAGTGGTTAACAAAACAAAGCCGAAACAGCCGAAGAACTTTAAGAAAGAGAGTAAGAAAAAAGAGGCGAAGAGGTCCAATAAGGAGACAATTGAAGCAAAAAACTTGTCCTGGTAAATTTGTTCGTTTTTTCTGCTTATTTTTTGAGATTATAGTTTTTTTCAGTTATGTTAGAGTTATTATGGAGATATTTTAGGATTTTATGGGGTTATTATGGAGTTATTTTCAGTTAGTTTCTAGTTTGTATGATAGCTACTTTGTGGTTCTTAAGAGTCAGGTTTTTTAAGAGTTATTTTGGGGTTATTCGGGGTTATAATAGGATTATTTATGAGTTAATCTCCCTTTCGCTTCGGGTTTTTTTGAGAGTTATTCTCGGGTTTTTTTTGGGTGATTCAAGAGTTATTCAGGAGTTTATTCTTTGGGTTATTCTTGGTTTATGCTTGGGTTATTCTGAAGTTAGTTTTGTGTCTTTTATTAACGGTTCATTGTTGGGATATTATTAGGTTATTTTTGACGTCTTTATTGACACTGTCGGCACTATTTTTGGTATGGGGTTTGCCCTGTCTTTATTGACACTTATTAGCGGTTCATTGTTGGGATATTATTAGGTTATTTTTGAGTTATTCTGGGGTTATTTATTATTTCGTCTCGTTTTAGTTTTGGGTTTTTCTGGGAGTTATTCGAGGGTTATTTTTGGGTTATTCAAGAGTTATTTAAGAGTTTATTCTTGGTTTATTTTTAGGTTATTCTTAAGTTATTCTGAAGTTAGTTTCAGGTTTTGATTGACAGCTTCTAGCGGTTCATTATTGGGTTATTGTTGGGTTATTTTTAGGTTATTCTGGGGTTATTTAGGAGTCCATCTCACTTTAGCTTTAAGTTATTTTTGTGAGTATTTCTAGGGTTATTGTGGGGTTATTATTGTGTTATTTATGAGTTAATCTTGCTTTAATTTCAAATTTTTTAGGAGTTATTCTAGATTTGTTGTTCGGTCATTCAAGGGTTAATTTTTAGTTTATTCTTGGGTTGTTCAAGGGTTATCTATGATTTATTTCGGGCTAGTTTTTGTTTTTTTTTAGATTTAATCTAGGGTTATTCTTGGGTTATATTCAGGTTATTAAAGAGTTATTATCTGTTTAACATCGGTTTCCGAGGAAGGTTTTCTGAGGTTATTATTGGGTTATGTTATCGATATTTAGTATTCATTCTGTGGTTATTGTTGACTTATTTTGGGGTTATTTAGGTTTTCTGTGATTATTTATGAGTTATTTTGGGGTTATTTTTTGTTTTTTTAGGTAGAAAATATCATAAAATTCATAAGTAATGTCTGTAAATTGTTATTCTGCTAGTGTTAATAAATTGTTTCTTATTCATGTTGGTTGACGAATAAGAATGTTATGAATTGTAGATTGCGTCCATCGATAGTTAGAGAAGTTCTAGACAAGGTTCGACCAATTGTCTCTGAGGAGAGCTGGTCAAAACTGAAAGAATTGAATGTGAACTCTCCTCATATCTTCAAGATCATATCTTAAATATGCACATATTGAATTGTTGGGATATTGATCGATTGATATTCAAATTAGGCAGGAAGGAGCTAAGTTTTGATGCAGATCAAGTTGCTTTGCTGATTAGCATGCCCAACAGAGGATCAACAACAACTTGAAAAAAAATAACCCCTCTGTGGTATGAATGCCAAGCAGACAAAGTGTGAATTAATGAAGGTGTCACTTGGAGAGTCTTCCATTCCTCTTGATGAACTATTTATTAAGTTTTTGTTGTTAAATTTATTTTTTTTCTCTAGCAGTTTTAGTATGCCCAAATGGGCTCTATTCATTTGCTAAGATTTTAATTTTTTTTTCTTCATTTAATTGGCCTACAACGGTATATGACTACCTTATTAAACAACTGAATGCCTGCGCAATTAAAATAAGAAGGGGTCAGCTATTGGGATATTTGAATGAATTTGTTTTTCTTCTAACGGTTAGTGTATTATCTATCTCTCTCAAAAGTTTCTTTTTTTATTTGGATTATATGAAATATTGATTTATTTATGTTTACGTGCCTGTGGTTTTATGAGTGCACCGCTATGGTAATACTTGCTGTTCCTGAGACCAGACCTCGCATGCTAAGGTAACTAATAAATGCGGGTTGGAACCCTGCAAAGATTCATCTAGCCTTTTAGAGGCTCACCACTACACATGTGAGTAATTTATCCCTCTTAGAGGCTCACCACTACACATGTGAGTAATTTATTTTATGTTGTTAGTCTTCTGTTGTAATTTGAGAGTTATTTTTGTCTTATTTTGGTTTTCTTTATTTGCAAATGTGCAATTTTACCTGGGTTTGAGTTTAGGATTTGTGAATTCTTTTATATAATTAGTTTGATTTTGGGTCATTTTTATTATTTAGTTAATTATTTGACTAAATCTATTTGTAGGTTTTTTTATTTTTTTGCTGACTTGAAAATGATGAGCACGTTTTACTTGTCCCACCAATTGATTTAATATCTAATCTTATAAAGGCTATCCCACAACCCGAACTCACTCCACACCACTGTCACCCAATTCTTATGGTGCTAATCCTCTGGTCCTCAGTTGAAGCAATCATCAACTGACACATTCACAAACACATTCAGACAACAATATGGGATCAGAAGTTATCTTCCAATTTATGAGGGAACAACAAAAATTTCTTTTTGAATTTAAAGAATCTATAAATAGCTGACTTAATAATATACGTTACACGATGACAAAGCTGAAGTCTGAAATCAAAGAAATAAGCGAAATAATAAATAAATGTGACAGGGAATTTGCAAAGGAAGGGATACTTGAAGCCCCAGTGGGTAGTTTAAACTGAAGGGTTAAGGCCTAAGGCACTAGAAAGAAAAGGAAAATAATTTCCCCCTTCACTGTAATAGAGAGTAAAACCTAATGCACATCACAAATATCTACTGCAAAACTACAAAGAAAAAAAATGCCATGGAAGCATGTAAGTAAAACTAATGCACAACACAACAAACAATAACATTTTGGGCAAAGCAAAGCTCACCTTCATCCCAAACGTGTTGTCATTATTCTCATAATCCATGATCGCTATTTCTTCGTTGAATGAGAAATCCATCTCCATTATAGCAGGAGAGCGAACCCTAGCACAGCGACGTGCAACAACAACAAAGCCCTAGTAGAGCAAATAAATGAGGATAGAAGCTTCTGACACCGAACTTGCGAAAGCCTAAAGGGTTTTCAAAACCCTATTTCTCGACATTCTAAAAGGTAGGATAGTCTAAAAGACGGGATAGTTGAAGCATCGGGCCGAATCGGGCAAACAAATTTTCGGTTTTTTATTTTTTTTATTTTTTTAATGTCTTTTCCTACATGGGACCCACAATACACGTGACATTATTTCATTGGACTCCGGACGTTGCTCTACGTCAGTAGTCCGGACCGAAAATTTTCACGAGGGAGCTACTTAATCTCATAATGGCTTCGTATTATGAATGTTTGAAAAATCCGAAAAGCTCCATTTCATAAAATTGAAATGTCTATGATTTTGGTTTACTTCAGTCTTCTTAAATATGGGTGAAATAACTTTTGAAGAGGACTATTTTAATTATAGAACTAAAATGTCACAGTTTTATAAAAAGAGTACAAAAATTAATTTTACAGTTTTATAAATTATAGAACTAAAATGTCACTATGTAAATACTTATGAACAATTTTTAATAATTTACACTTAAATTATCATTCCCCTTCTGCTCCCCTATAAATCATATCAAGCTGACATTTATTTTATTTTATTTTTTCTTTATTTCCTTCGTCATTTTTGACCTAACAAAGAGGTGGGAGTAGCAGAATTGTCAAAATAAATAAATAAATAAATAAATAAACAATTTAAAGTTGAAAAACGATTTTGCAGAGAATATTAAATAATATTATATGCTAAGTTGGAGCCTACCAGTTTTTTCGTTAAAATTTATATTATAGGGGAATTTATATGCATATTATACATTTTTTACTTATATCACGAAATAGGGGTGTAAACGAGCCGAACACGAGTTGAACCCAGTTTATATTTCTAGCTCAAAAAGTATGTTTGTGTTCGACTCATTTGCTTAGCGAGCCGAACACAAGCCGTTCAACAACAAAGAGCCGTTTGGACAACCCTAATCACGTAATCATAAGATGTTAAGGGTTTGAACAAGATTTAAAAATTATTATTTATATTAAAACGTCATTTGAATCTAATTTAATAATTTTTATTCTATTTTCTTAATTAATATTTTAATTGATTTTAAATCTTTATAGCCTTGTAGTCAATTAAATTTTTTTAAAATACTACTCATATATATATATATATATATATGAGTAATCTCAGTTCCTGTAGTTCATGTTCTGCTCGTTAACTTAGCGGCCGTTTTGACAGCCCTTTCACGAAAGTTTATGCGTTAGATGCAAAGACGCATGAAATGTGTTGAATTTAGGTAAATTTTCTAAAATTAAAATTATAAAATAATAAGTAAAAAAAATTGAAAAAAAATCAACTAACCTCTCTCTTATCTCTTGGGCTACTTGTCTTCAGCTCAAAGATTAGAAAACCCAAAACAACGAGAAATGCAGGAGGAATTGCCATTAGTCCTAAAGCACCCTGCAACATATAATAATTAGCTCATCAAAATCCACTTGTTATATTATTTTTTTTATTAGAGAAATTAATATATTATTTTTATTGGAATGAATTTTAAAATTATTAATTATTAATTAATAATAATATTTATAATATTGTAAAAAATTTCATCAGATGAATATTTAAAATTTAAATATTTGCTATCCTTGATTTTTGATTTCACCACCCCTCTAATCAATAATAAATTTTGGGGCGTTTACAGAATTTACATATCTAGCACCTAAATTTTATTTTTTTTACATTCATGACACTCAAATCTTTCATCCCACATTAAAAATTTTAACATTTTGACTCGTAAAATATGAAATAAACATTTTCATATATATAGATAAAGTGCTATAAATGTAAAAATTAAAAATTTTGAGTTAAAAATGTAAATACATAAATGTGGGTGGTATGCAAGCAAATTTTCCATATTATTTTTCAAAACATAGTATTACACAAATAAATTGATAAAATTATAATTCTCATAACAGTTCTATCCTACGAAAAATTATTCCATATTGTCCGATCTCCACCATGCATCAATTTTTTTTTTTAAATTTAAAAATGGGGCCCACCGACATGGAAAATATTTGCGTACATAAGACGTACGCAGCACTGCGTACGTCCAGGGGTTATTCAGGAGGTATCTGAGGGTTATATCGGGGTTATACCCCTCTGTAACCCCCCTGTAACCTCTTTGTAAACTACCTGTAACCTACAAATGAGTTTTGTGCTTCTGTAGTTTCATGGGTACAAATAAGTTACACGGAGGTTACAAGTGAGTTACACGGAGGTTACAGGGGGGTATAACCCGGATATAACCCCCCTTACCCACTGAATAACCCCTGACGTACTGCGTGCATCTTATGTGCGCAAATATTTTTCCAACGACATACATGTTTGCTCTAATGAACGGTGGAGATCGGACAGCATCTGTATGGAATAATTTTTCCTATTCTACACTATTTTCACAAATAGCTGTAGCAACCACAAACAAATCATAATAATTACTTTCTAACAATTCAGTTCAAAAGTATCCCTTTGGCTACAACTATTTGCAGAACATATGATACGGTTAAAATTTCCACACTCCTATAAATCTTATTATAAAACGAGGCATTTACATTCATACCACACAATTCTTATCTATTTACATACCTAACACCTAAATTTTAATATTTACATACATAACACCCAAAATGTTTACATCATATTAAAAAAATACCATTATTGCTATCTTCTTAAAAGCAAAATGCAACTTCTTTTATCTATAATTTTATGACACCAAAGTGTAATACTTTTAAATATCAAATTTTAGGTGTAAGATATGTAAATAACTAATAATTGTGGGATATGTATGTAAATGCCCCTAAAAAACATGGGTTGAAAAAATCAGACCTGTGCCCCCAGGAGATGAACAAGAAGGCCACTGCAAGAGTAACCAATCAAGGCGCCAACAGAAGAAACAAAGCTGCAGAGGCTCTGCAGATCAGAAGCCAGACTCGGCTTGTCAATGCTGTTCTTAGCGATACAGGCGTCGATGGTCACGTCGGCGATGGCGACTCCGGCGGCCATTCCGACCAGGCAGAGGAGAGCGATTCCAACGCTTAATTTCCCTTCCATCGATATTATCATAGCCGTCGACGCCCCCATTGCACCTGAATATCTCAGTGTTTAACTAATTGATAAGTATCCATTTAGCTTTAATCACTTAGACTACTAAATGTCAGTAATTAGTTTAATGCTTTTTAAAATTATAGATGTTTGGCTATAAATAAATTAATTAGACTATTTTACTTTCTAAAATTAAGAAAGGGTTTACATACTCAAATTTATATCATAATTACACGCACGCGCACACACAAATATGCCAACACGAATCTTGAAGAAATTCAACGGTCAAATACAATGATGATGATAAACGAAGGAATTCACAAGCCGGTTATCAACCACTAGGACCACGACGAGGAAATCTGCTCAACTGAACCGAGGACTGACCGATTGATTCACCCCTAGTTTCCCGTTCCTAGAAAGGCTACAACAAAACCGGAAAAAAACCTGCCGAATGGTCCATCTAACTCGCATATGTAAAATATTATAATAACCCCTGCTATTCAAATAAAGATGAAACGTAAATGTAATGTTGAGTCTGTACCCTTCAATGCCTATAAATAAGGGGTCATTTTTCGAATAAATGTTACATGCACTTACATTTCATCACTGTTCTCTTTTGCCTTCCCTATTTCTTTTACGCTCTATTCCTTGGTTGTAACTTCCGGACAATGTCGGATTCAATATCTTGAAAGGTGCCGTGAGCGAAGAGTCATGTCATCAACAAGAATAGGAGCACAACAAAAAAAGTAAAACCACCAAAGAAATATAACAAACATTGGCATACCAGAGAGTTCACAGAAGAGTTCGTGCAACGAGAAATGCAGGAGATAAGGAACAAAATAGCAAGTATCGCGGCAGTTGTCATGGCCCGAGCAAGAGAACATGCCTCTCGTGGTAGTCAGGACCCACCAAGAAGCGTGCTAGTGCATAACGACTGTAAAATGAACCATGGCGCGGTGAGGGCTGAAAGTTTGTTGTGTCATGATAGTGCTGGGTCTGCACATATGGAGAGATTGGTTTGAGTGTATTGAGGCTGCGCACAAACCTGATAATGCATTCTCCCTTTAGATTTTGAGAGTTGAACCCTCAGAGAAGTTTAAACTCCTTACGCTAGAAGCTTACATGTGTCGGTCAGACACTAATAATCACCTCAGTTTCCTCAAATCGTCATTATGCCTGCTAAAGCTTTTTGACGGATTCAAATGTCGCTTGTATTTCACCAACTTGAGATCATCAGCCCTTAGGTGGGTCAACTCACTGCTGGTCAGGTCGAGCTCATTCTTTTATGCTTTCAGAAGACTTTTCTTAGTGTAGTTCGCGAGCCCAAAAGCTTAAGAAAAGTGTGCAGCCTTTGTGGTAGCTAAAGCAAGGATCAAACAAAAGCCTATGTTGTTCATTCTATGGTTTTAGAGGAGGTGAAGGATCTGCGATCGGACATGGCTCGGACTGTCTTGACCCTGGGCCTGAAGTCTAAGAGGTTCATGCTTTTATTATTCATCACTATGCTCTCTTGCTTTTCCTCTTACTTTTATGTTTTATTCCTTGGGTGTGCCTCCCGGACAAGTATAGATTATATATACATATATATATTTAAAGGTGAAATCGATATTTGGTCCAGTGGGCATCAAATATCGATTCCCCAAAGGGTTGAAAACTCTAGTATGCTTGCATCTGATTCGAAGAGCCTGCATCACGAGATTCGAACCCCCGACCCGAGAAACTTATACCAGAGGCCGCACCAATGAGCTAGTTCATTCGCATATAGATAGATATATATATATATATAACATCAAATCTTTCATAACTTTTTTTAATGATTTTTACCTAATCTTTTATACTTACATACTTAAATTTATATAACACCCCCATATTTGAGATCACAAAAAACATTACAATTGTTTTCTTTAAAAAAAAACATATATATTTTCATGAAAAAAATTATGACACCTATTTGTGATAAATGTAAGAGAATTTTACATGCTTATCACTTAAAACATAAGAAATTATATTTCAAGCACTTATGCTCTAAGATTGACAAATTAGATATACCTATATTAAAAAAATTACATATAGCTCGCTAATATTTGTGAAAAAATATTAAGTCCGTGCAGTGCGACGAAGGTCGGACGTAATAATCGTCCTATATCTGTTACTCTCCATTATGAGAAAATATTGCCTCAAGAGTCTGGATGTAGCTATGCATCCAGACTCCAATGAGATTTCTCCAAGTCTAAGTGGCTGACCAGTTGAATAAAAATTGAAAAGCTCTATATTTAAATTCATCACCCGGCTCGATCCAGCCCATTGCTTCGAAAATAAAATCGCCCTATATTTTAATGCATGACCTGGCCTGATCCAACCAATTGCTTCAAAAATAAAATCGCCGTGCTGAATCAATCTCCATTTTCTTCTAACACCATCAGGTAGAGTTTCAAATAGCGTTATTTGAAATCCCTCACACTGTCGGTCGTCGGATGCATAGCTGTCGCAGTCCCTCTCTCCCTCGTCATGTAACTATTATGATATTTAGGTTTTTTTCCGAAACAAGTATTGTGTAAAGATTTAAGATTTAGGTGCGAACTCATGTACTTCTCTTTGTGTTTTCAAGCAAAGATAATATACAAGAATGGAATAACACAAAGAAATCAAAGAGCGTAAGAGTTGACAGAGAACATCCAGGTAGTTTTGGTTGTGTGGTTGTACTTGCATTGAAAAGTTTATGTAACCGAGATAAGCGTTGCTTCATATAATTTTTACCTGCATTGTACAATGACAATGTTAATAGCTAAATTAATCATATTGAATGATGATTTAGTATTGGAGAAGAAACCGTTTCATCTTACCACCACAATATTATGTAATCATATCATCACACTAATAACACCACAATAATAGCACAATAACAGTACAATACAACAATAATACAACCATAATAATACCACAATAACACCACAACACAACCACAATAACATTGCAATAACACTACAATATGATGACACGAATAAAACCACTGTACAACCACAATAACACCACAATACAACCATAATAATACCACAATACAACCACAATAACACCACAATACGATTACACGAATAACATCATTATACAATCACAATAACATCACAATGCAACCATAATAACACCATAATAGAACCATAGGAACACTACAATAACATTACAATACGACGACACAAATAACACCACTATACAATCACAATAACACACACTAATACTACAATACAATCAAAATAACACCACATTAATATCACAGTACAACCAAAACAACACCACAATAACTACGACGACACGAATGACATCATTATACAACCACAATAATACCACAATAACACCACAATACAATCACAATAATACTGCAATAACACCACAATACAACGACACGAATTACATCACTGTAAAGCCACAATAACACCACAATACCACCAAAATAACACCATCATAACACCACTATACAACCACAATAAAATCGCAATAATACCACAAAACGACGTCACAAATAACACCACCGTACAACGACAATAACACTAAAATAATGCCATAATACAAACACAATAACACCACAATACGACACAAATAACACCACCGTACAACTATAATAACACCATAATACAACAACAAAAACACCACAATACAACTACAATAACACCACAATACAACGACATGAATAACACCACTGTACAACTATAATGACACCACAACAATACTATAATAACACCACAATACGATAATATGCATAACATCACTGTAAAACCATTATAACACCACAATAACACCATAATACAACCACAATATAATCATCATAACACCACAATAATACCATAATATAATTACAATAACATCACAATAACACAACAATACGATGACACAAGTAACATCACTTTACAACCACATTTGCATGATAATAACACCATGTCATTACACTAATAACATCATAATAACACCACAATAACATCCAAATACGATGGCATAAATAACACTATTGTACACCCATATTTGCATGACAATAACACTATGTCATTACAATAATAATACCACAATATAATCACAATAACATCATAATAACACTACAATTTGATGACACGGATAACACCACTGTACAACCATATTTGCATGTCAATAACACCATGTCATTACACTAATAATACCAAAATAAAACCACAATAACACCGCAAAGACACTACAATACGACGGCATGAATAATATCACTGTACAACCACATTTGGATAGCAATAACATGTCATTACACTAATAACACAATAATAACATCACGATAACACCTCAATAACACCAAATTGTGGCAGCTCTACGAGGGTAATTTTATGATATTATCGTGGCATTATTGTGGTGTTATTGATATGTTTTTGTTGTGTTGTTCTGGTGTTATTTGAGTGTTATTATGACGACTTTTTTGTGGTATTCGACTGATGTTATTGATGTGTTATTGTAATGTTATTGCGATGTTATTGTGATGTTATTTGAGTGATGTGGTGATTCTGTGGTGGTATTTGGCTGGTGTTATTGCAATATTATTATGGCTTTATTGAGGTGTTTTTGCTACATTATTTGAGTGGTATTGTGGTGATTTTGTGTTTGTATTCAACTTGTGCTATTGCAGTTTTACTATGGTGTTATTGTAATATTATTGATGTGTTATTGTGGTGTTATTGTAGTATTATTACGGAGTTATTGAGGTATTTTGTAGTGTTATTGAGGTGTTATTGATGTGTTTTTGTGATGTTATTTTAGTAGTATTTGACTGGCGTTATTGAGGTGTTATTATGTTACTATTGCGATATTTTTTGTGGAATTTTTGAGTGGTACAATGACGGTTCTATGGTGGTATTCGACTTGTGTTATTGATGTGTTATTAAGGTATTATTTAACATTATGGTGTTAAAGTAGTACTATTATGGTATTGTTGATGTATTATTGATGTGTCATTCTGATATTATTTCAGTAGAGGTTTTTTTCATGCAGTTTTTTTGATGTTGAGTTAGTGTTTTTCCATGCAGGTTTTTTATGGTAG